GATCCGTCCCGAGTTCAGACCGAACTTGGATCAGTTAACCGTGTCGAGCTTGGTTCTTACAACTATTTCCACATTATGCTAGCACGGTTCCTCGCCTTCCAGCGGCGGTTTCAGACAGTCATTGAAGCTCACATTTCTCACCGCGGTTCGTTGAAAATGGCCGAGGGTCAGAAGAAAAAAAGTGTCTACGAAGTGTATGAGAAGAAAAGAAAGGCCTCAGGAGAGGCAGATATATCCCAGAATGCTTTGCGTGGAGAGCTCTCCTCACTAAGCGTTATGCAATTTGCTGTCACAGTGGCTAATAACAAAGATGGCACAGGCACCATGCGGTGGAGGCGGAGTTACGTGACCAACGGAATAAAAAGCCGTGATCTTCTGTCTGAAAAGTCAGTTAACTGAGTTCATTCGTTCACTATATAGTCCCCGCTCTATATAGTGATGGAGGGATTTAGGGGTTAGAGCGGACGGATGGACACAGTGAGCCTCTGTGAGCTATGAGAACAGAAACTTCTAAACAGAGCGTGCACGAGGAAAAATGGGCACGCTTTTATTATTCAAGTGGAGAGGGCGGGTCTTTTACAAAATTAATGAAAATCTTCCACAATATCTTTGATGAATCTACAGATCCTTCTCTAAATATTAGCATATTGTGATAAAGTTCATTATTTTCCATAATGTAAGGATAAAACTTGAACATTCATATATTTTAGATTCATTGCTCACTGACTGAAATATTTCAGGTCTTTTATTGTCTTAATACGGATGATTTTGGCATACAGCTCATGAAAACCCAAAGTTTCTATCTCACAAAATTAGCATATTTAATCCGACCAATAAAAGAAAAGTGTTCTTAATACAAAAAAAAGTCGACCTTCAAATAATTATGTGCAGTTATGCAGGCAATACATGGTCAGGAATCCTTTAGCAAAAATGACTGCTTCAATGCGGCGTGGCATGGAGGCAATCAGCCTGTGGCTCTGCTGAGGTGTCGTGGAGGCCCAGGATGCTTCCATAGCGTTTAGCCTTTAGCTCATCCAGTGTTGGGTCTTGCGTCTCTCAACTTTCTCTTCACAATATCCCACAGATTCTCTCTGGGGTTCAGGTCAGGAGAGTTGGCAGGCCATTTGAGCTCAGTGATACCATGGTCAGTAAACCATTTACCAGTGGTTTTGGCACTGTGAGCAGGTGCCAGGTGGTGCTGAAAAATGAATTCTTCATCGCCATAAAGCTTTTCAGCAGATGGAAGCATAAAGTGACCTTGCCCTTGATAAAACACAGTGGAACAACACCAGCAGCTGACATGGCGCCCCAGACCATCACTGACTGTGGCTACTTGACACTGGACTTCTGGCATTTTGGCATTTCCTTCTCCCCAGTCTTCCTCCAGACTCTGGAACCTTGATTTCCAAATGACATCCAAAACTGAGCAACAGTCCAGAGCTGCTTCTCTGTAGCCCAGCTCAGGAGCCTCTGCCACTGTTTCTGGTTCTAAAGTTGCTTGACCTGGGGAATGTGGCACCTGTAGCCATATTTCCTGCACACGCCTGTGCACGGTGGCTCTGGATGTTTCTACTCCAGACTCAGTCCACTGCTTCAGCTCTGCAATCGGCCCTTCTTTACAATCTTCCTCAGGGTCTGGTCACCTCTTCTGGTTGTTCAGCGTTTTCTGCCACTTTTTCCCTCCCACAGACTTCCTACTGAGGTGCCTTGATGCAGCACTCTGGGAACAGCCCATTGGTTCAGAAATATCTTTCTGTGTCATCTTCTGGACAGCAGTCAGGTCGGCAGTCTCACCCATGATTGGGGTTCTGAGTGATGAACCAGGCTGGGAGTTTTAAAGGCCTCAGGAATCTTTTGCAGGTGTTTAGAGTTAATTTGTGATTCAGATGATCAGGTGCATAGCTCCTTTAGAGACCTTTTTCATAATATGCTTATTTTGTGAGATAGGAATTTTGGGTTTTCATGAGCTTTATGCCAAAATAATCCATATTAAGACAATAAAAGACCTTAAATATTTCAGTTAGTGAGCAATGAATCTAAAATATATAAATGTTCAAGTTTTATCATTACATTATGGAAAATAATGAACTTTATCACAATATGCTAATATTTTGAGAAGGACCTGTATTTATGTGTAATCTGAAATTTTCAGTAGGTCTTCATGTACTGTAAAAAAAAATGGTGAGTTGTAGAATCTTCTCCCTATAAATATTTAATTCTTTGTGAATTAGTGCCGATCATTCTTTGATAAGATCCTCATTAAACGGACATGAAATGTTTGTTTTTTAAACCTGATGTGTCTAACGGACCTGAATTATAATGTTTTTATGCACAAAATGACAACAAAAATCTCCTGACTAAATCAGGACAAGAGACAGAGGAAACTTTACAGTTTACTGTAAACCTGCTTTTTCTCACAATGAGCTCATAGGTTAAAGATTGTAACTCTGGTACATTTTTTATTATATCAAAATAATAAAATCTCTATTCTTTATTCAGCAAAGTTACTCAAGGTGAGTAAGGCAACAATTCCTACTAATATAACTTAAGTTAAGTAAAAAGTTGCCTCGGTAAAAGTAATCCTAAATGTACATTTTGTTCAAAAATGTACTAAAGTAAATAAAACAAGGTAAGTACCAACAAGTGTTAAAGTAAAGACCTGATATATTTGTGTAAAGGAGACTAAAATGGAAATAAATAGGTTTTTAAATAAATCAGTACATACAAATCCCAGAGAGGACTGCTGGTATGAAAATTAGATTAACTTTATTTCTTTGGTGGTTAGCTTTCCTGTGCTGCCCCCTAGTGGAATATTTCAGCATGTATGATATTTGGTTCAGAGGCCTGATTTCCACCTAAACCAGTCCAGCCAGGAATCATCACTTCTTAGCTCTACATCAGAGCCCTGAAAGACTGAACTCATCAAACCAGAGAGAAATAAAACACATAAAATACCCAGAAATAAGGCTTATAGATCATGGATAAATGAAAGAAAAAAAAAGAAAGAAATAAGGAATACCAGCACTACATACATACAAATATACAGCTAATAGAAATAAATATAAATATTAATTCATTCCACCTTCAATTGAATACAGAACATTGATTTATATTTAAACTTTGAAACTCTTCATCTCAAATCCACCTGTAACTTATTTCAGCATTTGCATCCTTTACATCTATACTCTTTTTATTTTTATTTTGGTATAACTTTATGCTGTTTTATCTCCTGATCCAGACCATTCCATAAAATCACCCTACAGCTGAAAACTTTTATTTTTATTTAGATGGCCTCTTGGTTTATTACAAAAGCATTTTTTTAGAGCCAGTCTAGAGATTTAGTTTCTTTTTAATATGAAAATAAAGTCATAAAATTATCAGAATAATGTAACATTATAAAGTCATAATATTACGAGAATAAAATAATAAATTTACAAGAATAAAGTCGTATAATTATGAGAACTAAGTGAAATATTACAAGAATGAAGTCATATTAACCCGTTTAAGAAAAAAAACTCTGACCAGCATATATAAACATTTCAAAGTTCTGGTTCTGATAATAATTTGAAGCTAAGCGAGTTCATATTTCCTAATTTGTAAAATAGATTCCAAAGTATACATTTTACAAGATTCCTCATTTCAGGGAAGACAGTGCGTATTCTAAGAGTTGTCATAAAATAGAGCTTTATTCTCATAATATTAGGACTTTATTCTGATGATGTTTTGACTTTCTAAAGGTAAAACTTTATTCTCATAATATGCAAGATAAAATATGACTTTATTCTCGTATTTAAAAAGAAACAAATCTCTATCCAGGCTCTGATACGCCACCGTTGGGTTATCGCCTCCTTTCTGAAAATCTGTTGATTCTAGGATTCCTTTAACAGTCTGCACTGATTCAAATTTAACACAACTCTTTATTTTAATATGCTGACGTTTAGGAAAAGCAGTTTTGTGTGTTCTCTTTTTGTTTTAGATGTTTCCTCAGACCTTCATGCTGCAGGATAGATGCAGTAAAACTAATGATAAATGTAGAAGATGTAGGAAGGATGCATCTTACTTCTCTTAGGTTCCTACATGAGCAACAGGTGCGGGATTATACCAACCGTTTTTATTTCTTTTACTGTATTTTTGTTTTCAGTGACCAATTCTTATCTGTGATTCTGTGAATTAACCTAAATCACGTTTAGAGGGAATTTTTCTTGTCATTCCCTCTGAAAAAAATATGAAAACTTCACTTTATTAGTTTGTTTTCATGAAGTATCAGATCAGGATTTTAGGGAAATAATAATTTGGCCAAAAAAAGGGAGCAAAAGGGACAACTAAATTATCAGAACGATTAGGATTGAGAATCTTTGAAAGTTTTCTGGATTGAAACTATCAAATTTTTATTCACAAAATGTTTTCTTTGTTATCCAGATCTGTAAACAGTGTTCATCTTTTCTTTGGTTTGTAGTTTGATAGAATCTAAAATATGCTTTTGTACCATCCTGCTCTATCCCTAATATTTCTTAATATTTCTATAGACTGTTCAATGTAATATAACCCAACTAAATGAATATTTAATAATTCTTGGCTGTGCAGTAAAAAGTAATCAAACCTGGAGTTTCCCACAAGTCATCATTCTGAATAAGGCTGCTGATTGTAACATTAAAAACAACATGTACTTAATCATTTGATTTTTAATTATTGTAAACCTTTAAACAAAGAACACTATTTGCACCAGTGTGCGTGAAATAATCACTTAGTGAACAGCTTTAACTACAATAAAGTTTTTCAAAGAACTTAAATTCATGAATATAATTTCAGTTTAATTATTAAAACAATCAGCAGCTTATATTGTCTGATAAGATAAAGAAGCTGCTGGAAAATCATCTAAATTCAAACCAGTTATTATTTTGAATTTAAAAAGCCTTTTTTTCAACAGAACACGTCATTGATCTGAGGAACTCATTTACAAAACAAATCAAAAATCATTTAAGGTAAAGAAATAATTTGGACACCAATAACTATATATATGTCTACTTTTTATTCTTTAAAAATATACTCTTTGGCCCAAGAGCCATCAGGAAGGAGCAGACGTAGGAAATCTGTGGATCGATCAAAGTAAAGTCACATGTGGAGCAAATATACAGCTAATACGTCAAAAGTACAAAAATATCAAACAAGCTGAAGCAACAGAATTCAATCACTGCTGTAGACATTGACCAAATGCTGCTCACTAGCAAAGCTATTAACTACAAATAATCCAACTATTATTCCTTTGAAGAAGTTTTATTCTCAAACCCAGTATTTTATATTTTAGCCCTTGAGATAAAAACAAAACAACAAAACTTCAAGGTGACATTGCTTTCAGGATCTATATGGCAGTTTAACAGAATCTTAAAGCATTTATCACAAAGTTGGACAAAAAGGATTTTGTTTTTTTAGCACCTGGACTCATTTCTATGGAACAGTAAAAATAAAGAATAAAGTAGTGTGGCTTGTTTGCATCCTGAAAAAGAGCTAAACATTGATTTCTAGAGAAAACCCCACCCCGTCTACGACAACCCTGAAGCTCTGGCGCCCTGGAGGCGTTTAAATAAAGAACGAAAAAATATACGTTGAAAATGAATTTAGGGAAATAACGGCAATGTGCAGATATACAGTACATCTAAGCAATAAAAATCCAAATACAGAGTTTTAGCACACAAAAAGTTTTCTACTAAAATACCGGTTCTGACCATGAATACAGTAGGAACAGGTAAAAAATACAAAACCGTCTTTCCTGGTGTTGCTAAAGGGTCACAGAGTCTCTCACGTTAAAAAAATACCAACAGCAGGGGGTGCTTTACGTTTTATATACACTCTTCTGAACTCTGCTTAGAAACAACGTGCAAAACTTCAACGGTAGGACGCTGTGCTTCAAAAGAAACACATTTCAAAACGGGCTGATCCAGCCAACCCCTTCTACATAAAATGAACTGTTAAACTTTATCTGCAGAACCTAAAGAATTAACTTCTGGTACCGTTCCCTTAGATTTGGGGGAAACAAGAGGCAGCAATCATGGTGCGTTCACAGCAAGCGCGTAAAAAGGCTTCAACTTGGAGATGCTTGTGCGCGAGAGAGCAAAGTGTGTACAGATGTCTCTAATGGAGCCATCTGTCCGGCTATTTCCTCTTCTGGTTTCTTGTAAAACGCAGATGCGATTGAATTTATTTGCTGTGGCGAGTCGGGAGGAAATCAAAGTTTTAAGCAATAAAAAAAATGATGATAACACCACTTTTAAATATTCCATCATTTTTCAGGCTCCGTATACAAGCTGTCATCAGAGCACGGAAAACCCAGCGGCAGCTGCCTCAAACCAGTCGGGCTTCGATATCCTTCCTAGAGGCTTTTCACAGAAGGTTTTGACATTTTTACCTAAATTAGGTATTTAACGGTTTTGCCACATTTCAGTTGTAACATGTTTTAGTAGAATACTAATGGTGGGAGCACTCTAAATGCCAACATCTGACCCTTTGACCGTGATTGATGCTTGGAAGTTCAAATTAGTTGAAGCACAAAATGCACTGCCTAACTTCTCGACTAGAGTCCAAAGTTAGACTTGGCGTGTAAACCAGAAGCCTGGAGCGCGTTTGGTGTGAACACATCATAACTCTGCTCTTCACTATGTCTGTTGAACCATTTTGCAGGACTGGAACACTACAGACTGAGCCTTTTTAATCCATATATCCAACATTGCTGTACAAACGGAAGACATATTTACAACATGACCTGAACGTAAACAACAACAGCTGCCTGACTAAGAATGAACTACATGGGTTTTATGAGGGTGAACTTTGTCAGGAACCAATTTTGATTTTTGAAAGAAAACATTGTGTCATCAGCAGAACCTGGAACTCTGTTTGCTATATTCATCTGAATAAAAGATTTTCAGATAACTTTCTTAACTTTTCTACATTCTTTGAAAGGAAAATGTACAGCTTATCCAACTGTGGGGTAATCTGAAAAAAAAAAAAAAATTGTTTTTTAACTTATGGGAAAATAGAAAAAAAAATGAAGTTACCTGAGTTGTTTGGTCTGAATTTGCCTACAACTATTAAAATTGTTCCCTTTCATTTAATGTCTTCTTCCCAGTTGCCAATTACAGCTTTTCACAGTTAAACTAATGTGGATGAAGTAAATCATGCTAACATCTGAACAACAACTGATAAAAAATCTACTTTAATTCACTTAATATGTATTTACAGGGACATAAAAATAACAGTCAGTGGAGAAATGTGAATTTAAATGTGGAAGGGAAATGACTATTGGTGTAAAAAAAACTTTAAAAGAGTTTATTCCAGTCTCTTGTTGCCTCCATGAGGTGTCTTTGGCCGTGGCCAATCCAATCTTCTTGGTTGTTGAAAAGCCGACCACAAAACCAGCAATCGAACACCACTGAGCTCTGTCCACTAGACGATAACGTTTTTACCACCTCGTATTTTTTTCTGTTTTTCTTCCTAAGCTTTAATTTGAGGAGAAATCGTTCTCGGACAGCACTCAGCACAGGCCGAGGTCTTGAGACATCTCCATTTACAGATGTAGAGATATTGTTCACAAGACTGCTGAACTCAGAGAGTGCTTGAACCGTCTTTTGACTTAGAGCAACCTTTGTGACAGCACCTTTGTGTTTGTTGACCATCTTCATTATGTTGGTCACTTCGGGAATGTCAGCATCAGGGTGATTGAGCACCACCACAGGCTGGTATCTGCACGGGTACTTGATCTGTTGCGCAGCACTGAAGGGAGTAAGTCTAAGTGTCCTCTCCACTTCTTTGCCAACTGGTGTCCATAACTCAGGGTCTTTTTCAGTCAGTACCTTATTTGAGAACCTTCTAGCTTTATGCAGGGTGGCTGGAAGCTCATCCAATAAAGCTTTTCTGTGCCTTTTTCTTTGGCCGACAACCCTTGGAGCAAGAAGAGGTCTATTTGCTTCACACAATTGTAGGTTTCCATTCACGTGCAAAGGAGCTGCAATAGGTTCCTTTTGATGTTCCCGTTCATTAATTTGTACACTGACCATTTTCTTTACTTCACATGAAGCTGGAACGGTGTTGTTTGCAGACACTAAGAAGCACTGCCCTTGAGGTCTGGTGGCCAAAAGCAACGGTTTGCTGCTTGATGTAGGCGCTGCAGCTGTATTGAGGCGAGCAGTGGGAGAAACTATTTTGAATATGACTTTATTTCCAGAACATTCACTGGCCTGGCTCCAAACGGTTCTGTTCTTCAACTCTTCCTTATTGACAAAGAGACCCGATTTGGTTGGAGAGATGTATCGAAGCAAGTACGCCTGGCGAGAAGTTTGTGGTGTGCCCGGTTTCTCCGCAAGGGTCCCGGCTAGAACTGGTTTTGGGTTTACTGGGACCTGAGGACATGGCACTTTAGAACTAGTTGTATTGGGGTTCTGAACAATTGGGACAGACCTCTGCACAAAATAGCATGTTGGTTGTGCCTTCACCGCCATATTGGTTGGTGTACTATTCAATGTTCTCGAAAGGAGAACGGGTCCCTTAAAACCTGGACTGTTGATATAGTATTGATTTTGGGTGGCGTTGCCACCTGAGTGGACAGCAGATAAAACGGTTGCCCCCTTTTCTGTGGCTTGTGGTTTCCCTGCTGCGACACCAACAATATTAGCTTTAGGAGTAAGAGTTACACTGGCAGTGGAGTTATTTAACTCTCGGTTCGTGTAAGATAAACTAATCTGAGGATTTGAAGAACTAGTTAAAACTTTAAAACCTGTACTTGTCTGGACTGGCATTGCAATCTTATTCTCTGTTGCCCTAAGGAATACCGGTGGCTTTCCTCCTGGCAACTGAAGGATTTGCAGAGTTTTCTTTGCTTTTGTTAAATGGGCATTGCTTGAATTTGAAGATCCGGTACTGTTTTTATTAAGTTGCTTTGTAATGATTGCATTTGAATGTTCTTTAACAAAACTTTCCATGGAATGTAAACTAGTGTTTGAGTCAGGTTGTCTTGTGGATATGGGTACGCACTCTTCCTCGATTTTGACGATATTAAGGTCACGAAGGACTGAATCACTATTTTCCTCCGTTAGAAGATCATTGCTACCTACACACCCATCCACCTCAATGTCTCCATCGATACTCGCTGTAGCGGCATCTGGAGACTCAGATAACCTCAATCTAAACTGCGATGCCTCAGAAGCATTTCCTTGGTGCTCCAAATCCTCCCCAATACAGGACAAGTTTTGAACATTATTTGGTGAGGACCTACAAATTTCCTTTGAGTAATTGTGGAAAGTAAACACCTCCTGGTTTGGTGTTTTTTGCTCACCTTTTTCTGTGCCCAAGGCATCCCTTCTACCGTCAACAAAAACGTTTGGGGATAAGTGAGATGGAGATTCTGGTTTTCTTGCGGTTTGAAGACTATTTTTACTTCTGTTTTCAGTGCATGAGCAATCATCATTCTCTGAGGTAACCTGACTAGAGGAGTGAGTATACAAAGTGTTGTTTACAGAATCTGCTTTGTATTTTTTGCATAAAACCCTAAAACCGTCAGTCAGCAATGATTCATCTTTGGCTCTGCTGAACTCTACAGTTTCTCTGAAGACAGTTTGTGGAAGCAGTGTCCTTTGCACCGTATTTAAAGTAGAGGGATGGGCAATAACTTCCTCACATACTGTTTTAGTTTTACTAATTTCAGTTTCATAGCTTCCTCCATCACATTTTAACTTTGCAGTGTCTGAATTGTGGGCCACCGGTAACTTTCCTTTCTCCATGGAAACTGGCTCGAAGCGGCTGTGGGTGGCCTGGATGGTCACTGGGTACATTTCGTTTTCTTGTTTTCTTGAGTGTGGAGTGGAATTTAGACTAGAGACAGAAGTTTCCTCTTCCTCGATCTTCACTTTTGCCATAATATCATCTTGATCGGCTTGATGGCATGATCCATTTCTTGGGGAGACAGATAAACATTGCGATGTTGAACCCTTGCCTTCAGACCGCTGCTCAGTCTCACTGGATTCCATCCTTTTTGCTATCGCAGGGTTGGATCCAAAAAGACCAACGCCATCAGCAAATGAAAACTTCTGAGAAGATCCATCCTGTTTTGCAGCTGGTATGACTTTGAGAACCAAATGCTTTTTGCCGTCAACCATCTTGAATCCCATCACTTTTGTCGTACAGTTGGGCGGCAGAGAGATTTTGTTTTTCACCATCAGCACAGTGAGCCCATTGGCGTTGGGAAAACTTCCAGTTTCAGAGGTGTTTTCAGACTCCTGTAGCATGACTGGAGTTGAATTGTCTGCATTATGAAAGCTCCAACCTTTGTGATCCTTCTGCCCTACACCCCCCTCGATAAGGTGGTGAATCTCCTCCAATGGTAGTTCTTGTTTGGTTACTCTCCCATTTTCATTTGATAAAGTTCCAGAAGGGGAGTTCAGTTTTGACATCCCATGCGTATCCTGTGACAAACCAATCTTTTTATACAATGTTAGATTCGTAGAGGAATTTCCTGGTGAACTACAGTCTTCAATAGCTTTTAGGGCATTCTTTCTCTTGGCCTCCTCTTTGTGAACAGCTGCTTTGTGCTTTTTCAGGTGCTCAATTTCCTCTGTACCAAATCCACAAATCTTGCAAGTGAAGGTAAATGTACCGGAGTGAGCTTTCATATGAGTTTGGTGATCTTCTTCATTTAAGCTGATATGTCTACATTTTGAACACTTCCAGTGACTCTCGTTATGATGGTGGATGTGCTGGACAAATGTTCCAGCATCCACGGTCGTAAACTTGCACCAGTCGCATTGAAACTCTCCGTCTTTACTATGGCAATTCATGTAGTGTCTGGTAAGCAACAGCAAGGAATACTGAACATTGTCATTGCAGAGCTCACACGTAACCAAAGTGTTCCTGTGCTCAATTCGATGTCGCTGAAGTGCCGAAAACTCATTTGTGACAAAATCACACAAGTCACAAGGGTATGCAGGAAGGGATCCTTTATGAGCACCTTGGAAATGTTTGAGGAGATCATTAGGGCTAAATGTCAAGTTGTCTTTACACAACGAGCATCCAAAGCTAAGAATCTTTCCAGAGAAAACGGCCCGCTGCTGACTTTTACAATGTCCTCTGACTGTTTGCCCATCGTTTTTAGTGACAGAGCCATTTTCTCTTGAGACTGAATTGTCTGCATTATTGAAGAGCGGCCCGTTGTTTGCTTCTTTCAAATGTTTGTAGACTAAATCATTCACCTCTTCTTTTTCAACATCCCCAACTGATGGGCTGTGATTTTTGTGTGCATCCTGAGGTAGTGTAAACTGTTCCATAGCGGCTAATCTGAGGATACCTGTAAGAAGAACAATAAAAACAAAGTTATGTCTAACAGTTAACAACATAAAGTAGTTCATTTTCCATTATTTAAAACTACTAACCTTTAGTATTGCAGTTGAGAATGAGCAACTAAAAACAACAAGTATGCCTTTAGAGTTTACCAAGATGAATTTGTATAAAACAGAAAACATTTACATGAGAAAGCAAACCATATAAAAAAATAAAAATTTAATTACATAAAAACTAAAAGCAACTTGTGCTTGGGTGAGAAATAGGTAGAACAGATGTTTTCACATGTGTTGTTTGTGCCAAATCTGAAAGAAGCTTTTTGATTCAA